AAAAGTGAAACTATGAAATGCGTGGTAGTGTGTAAATTATAGAGCTTTCCACGCCGTATTTTTTGATATAATTTGTTCTTTGATACAACCTATGAAGTAGTCGAAAAGTGAAATTTAAAAGCGTGACGATATGAAATATTAATAATGCGGTAAACAAACGCAGTTTTGATCGAAATTTATTATTATGATACTAGTTGAACAATGATCAAATAGTACAGAAACATAGAGCATCTTCTCCTCTATCAACGCGTGAGAAAAGAAAAGTTGTTCAGGCATTCTACTAAGGAAATAAGATACGGACGTCATTAGTTTTGGTATGCCCTAAGTATCTTTTTGAGGAAGAAAACAATTTTTTCTTCTTCTAAAGTACATATTACTGTTCTTTGACAATCTACATCATTCTGTGAAAACATCATTGTATTGTCAAAACAAAGTCTTCAACGTTAGTGCTTTAGCAGTGTCTGTTTTCCTTCTTTCGTGTAATCGTGATCGATGGGTTTCGAAAGAATTGCATTTGCGTATGCAAGGTGCAGTCGGACACAAAAAACGGAACGAAACGAATCTAATCAATCCTGTACTAAGAATTTCGATAAGGGACGGCATCTAGAAAAAGATCTTCAGTAGTCTGAGTTTCCATTTAAGTTAGGTGAAGCACTCACAGTTTTTCTTACATTGTAGAAGGAAGAATGCTGATAGTTATCGTGATCGTACAGCATATTTAGGAAGCGTTTCAAAATGTATTCCGGTCGGTGGGTCGCTATTTCTCTATTCTCCGACTATTTCTCTATTATTCCTCTGTCATTCCGCTATTCCGCTCGTCCTCTATTCCCCAATTATTCCTCTATTATAGAACATTTGATTGTATACTAGTTTTGCTGTATATAGTTTATATACATCGAACTTGACTTTCTTTTTTAATTGTTTCTACTTCTTCAAAAACAATTAACCGCTATGTATCCAAAGATTATTCATTTAACAAGCTATCAATAACGTATTTCAAGCAAAAAAAGAACATCTCTTTTAGTCCAACGTTTTTCTTTTCTTTTCGTCCATTTTTATTCTATGATGATGTTCTGTTTAAGGATTCCTCTCAGGAGATGTAGTCCTTAGGACGATTTCACTTGTTTGGTCTTCTTTTCTCGTTTCTTTTTTTTTATTTCTTTAAATAAAAAGCTTAAACTAACATGTCTTTTACAGTTCATTCTACTTTCATACTATTTAGGCCTGTTTAGGATACAACACTTTTCTTAATATAAGGAAGAAACTATAGTATCAAGTGTTTTTCTTTTTAAAAGTAAAGATTTAGACAAAACGACTCTAAAGATCTAAAAGTTAGAGTAAAACAGAAGAACTTCAATTTAATAATATAGTATGCAATCGACAACACTTTTTATTTATAATATCTTTGAATGTTTTAATATTCTTCTAGTAATACTTTTATTAAATTTTGTCCTTGTTCGACTACATCGTTTATTTAGTAATTCTTTATATTGATTAGGAGCATATCAAAATTTAAATTCTAATTTATTTTATTTATTTTGTTTCATTCGGTTTCTTTGGTTGTATCGTTGATACGTGCATCGGCATATATATACTTCCAATGTGTTCGTTTTTTTAACAGACATCTTTATAAGAACAGACATTTTTCTGTTTAAAGAATAAAATCAAAAAGTAACAAATTTTATATTTTCATCAAATGTTCATCTTTTTTATATTCAAGGAGGCGAGTGCTCACTGTAAACTTATTTCGTATTGCACCAACTTCGCGAACTAACATTACACTAATTAGAGTAGACCCATTTTCATCTTTTATACTAGTTTAAAGTGCACGAGTTGTACACTATGCTGGTCTATTTTTTAGAAAAGGACCCATTTTAGTCTTTGAGAAATATGACTGTGAATATGGTTAGCTATTGTTTAAAAAAGCAAGTTTTTCCCTGCGCGACTTTCAGAGACTTGTTTTGCTTGTCTCAAAACTAGATACAATTAGAAAAGAAAATCAAGTTCGATGTATTTAAACTATATACAGCAAAATTAGTGTACAATCAAATGTTCTATAATAGAGGAATAATTGGGGAATAGAGGAATGACAGAGGAAATAGTCGAGAGAAATAGTCGGGAAATAGAGGAATAGCGAGAAATAGTCGGGGAATAGAGGAATAGCGACTCACCGACCGGAATACATTTTGAAACGTTCCCTTAGTCAAAGTCATCTGAAGATGATGTGTGATACATCGCTAAAGCTAGTTTTTATTGTCTCAAGCAGAGCAGAAAGAAACTTCAGTCTGTGAAATATTCGTCATATGTGAACCGAAATAAATTCTCGAGGGTGGGCATGTGTCCCATTTGCCCTGCTCACCTTCTGAATACTAGTCCGATATAGTCTCGGAAAGATAGTGAATCTAGATGCGTGAAAGAGGAGGCTTTAATTTTATACTGGCTCCTATTTTCTGATATTCGCAGGAAATGGATTTGCTTCAAAGCACATGGTCGGAGCTGCAACTTAGACCGCTAGGGCTACACTAAGTCTTCTAACAATGTTTGTAATATACGATATTTCATTCTATTTATCGCATTGTTTTTTCTTTCCAAGTTCCGTTTTGCAAATCATTTGGATAAATTTTTGATTATACTGGGCATATATGTAGCAATTTTGGATGGTATTGGATATGCATTACTTTTACTAACATTCGGTTATTTAGCCGATGTATTTGTCCATCAAACAATTAGTTTTTGCGATTTCGATTTGGTTAAATTAAATAGAACTTGTCCGTATGGTTTGACATTAAATAAATATAACTTTAATCGTTATTACAAGTAAGACATTTATTTTACAGTTAGAAAATGTTCCAGATCATTAAATTATTATTTTGTTATTTATTTAGATTATGTTATATAGATCTACGAGTCACTAATTTGCCGTTATCAAAAGACTTGAATAAAGAAATACGACCAATACTATTAGCTTTGTTAGGTAAAATAGTTCAATTTCATTCACCAATTTCATTAATTCGAACCACTTTTTCAGGTATTGGTTGTGTTCTATTTATACTTTCTTATTTAAGACATTTAGCGTTATCATTATCATGTGAAAGACAAATATTTAAAATACGTGAAAAATTATTTCGCAGTATTTTACATAAAGTAAATCAGAATGAATTTGCGTTTAAGTTACAAATGTACTTCATATTTTTTTAATTTCTGTTTTAGAAAATTGCTTATTTTGACATGAATAAAAGTGGAGAATTTTATACTTTATTATCAAAGTAAGTAAAGTTGGGACATATCGGACTATTTACGGTAGAAAACAGAACAGATTTGAACATAAGTTAGAATTAGTTTTGACTAGATGATGAATAAATGGAAAACGAAAAAGCAACGAAGAAAATATCGTAGTATGACTTTGAATTTTATAAGTAGTGAAACGTATTTTACAACAATTTGTTGCTCAAATTAATTCATAACTGTTCTCGTTGTTATTATTAATTATAACTAGACAGATTATTTCTTCTGCCTTTTCTTGAGCATAAAAATTCAATTTTGTTGAGTTACTTTGGTTTTGTTTTTTATTTTAGCAATGTTGATAAAATTCATGATGGGATTGGAGATAAATTAGGATTTATAGTATCTGGAGTAACAATGCCAATAGCTGGATGTATTATAGCATTAATTAAAAGTTGGCAATTAACAGTTATTCTTTTGAGCATCGTACCACTTTTAGTTGCAATGCTATGGGTTCTTAAAATAGTAAGAGTTAACGTGTATAGGTGGGGTCCTAAAATATTGCAGTTTTGTCCATATAACAGCATATTTTCAACAGTATACATAGATCGAAGGAACTGAAACGATTTTTGTTGCGGGGAGACTAAGAGCTTTAAAGTACTTTTAAAAAGCCTAATTCCAGGAAATGCATGAAATTATTATACTTTTTTTGTTTCAGATTATTGCTCGTACTACAAAACAGGAGATGGAAATCTACTCGAAAGCTGATGCTATTGCTCAAGAAGTATTTAGTTCAATACGTACAGTTTTCTCTTTTAATGGTTCACAATACGAACAAAAAAGGTATCAGAGTTTGTTTGGTTTGTTTTCATTTTTGTATTCTTCGAAAGAAGACTGAACTTAGGTATGCTCAGATCATTCTTGACTTATGATAGCTATGAACCTATAGCTTCCAGCATCCGATAAACAGAGCTCAAGTCCACTTTTCTACATCAAACAAAGCTCAAAATATTTGTTTGAAGTAGGTTGAGAAGAGCATTAAAAAATCAGTTTGTGGTTCGAAAATTTTCTATAGAATGCAATTTGTTTCCTATGGGTAACGTGTCGGCAATTCAATAGTTGAACAAATTGAAATTTTTAAGAATAAGCGAAATTTTAACGTTTATCATTATTTCTATCACTCAAAGCTTCATGAAAAACTGAAAATAAAAGTCAAATTTGGTCGAATTTAAACTTAAAATGACAAGAAAATTCTTGAAACACCGATCAAACCGGTGAAATGGGTACTGCTCATCTTGTAAACCTATCTAGTCTTCGGCAATAAAAATGTTGAGCTTATTTCTAGCTACTCCAGTTACTCAGTTTTAAAACCTCTCTAATCTCGCTTTACCTTATGCTAGGTTTGAAACGTATTTGGAGCCGATGAGAAAAGTTTGCGTGAAGCGAGCAGCAGCATATGGCTTTACTCTTGGTTTAGGCTGGTTTTTATATTTTGTGATGATTTCATTGGGTTTTTGGTATGGCATAAAATTATTACATGAAGACAAAACGCAAAATATTAGTGGTATTGTTACGGTATGCAACCAAGACGATTTTAACATTAGCTCTTGGGTTGTAGCCGTAGCGGTTTTCGTCCTCAACTGTCAACAGTATTTTTATCAGTCGAAATTCACAACTAAGATATCTCAATTTGGTGATATCTTCATTTTTTCACGGAATGAGTGATTAGGGCGAAGATCTCTTGTCTATTAAAAATGTTTAAGAAATTTACTTGTTTTTTCCCTCTTTTCTTCAATTATGTTTCCTCCTGAGAAGCTACTTAGGATGATCAGTGGTGTATCTCTCTACTTATACTGAGCGCTAATATAACGACATAATATTTTACGTTTACAGTTCCGAACGTCAATTATGAAATACAGTTGAGAGTTTAGAACGTCAGCTGATAAGATGCCGTTGACAGTTCAGAACGTCAACGGCAAAATCGTCTCCATTCCCGTTTTTACCAAACCAACTGCCCTAATTATAGCTCAGAAAGAATATCTCACAAAATATCCTAGTCGTCTCATGTTAAGGTATGAATGATATGCTCTTATCGTTTTTCTCTAGTACCATTTGAGAAAAACAAATTTAGTTATAACTTGAGATTTATTTGTCTGTTTCAACGGTCTGTCATTTTGAGAAAAGAAACTTTCGCTTAACCCAAACCCGCGTTAGTGCCCTAAAAGGCATTAGACCAACGAGCTTTAGTTAATATATCACCCAGCGTTCTCTGATAACGGAAGGCAAGAGATAAGGAGAGAAAAATGAACAAACGATCTGTTTGTAAGGAAAGGATATAGACATTTTCTTTAATATTTGGGTGCGAAGAAAACGTTGAGCAAAACGATTTTTTCTTGCATAAAGCATAATTATTTTTAGCACGATGTATAAACACGTTCTTATATTTAGGTGATTCTCTGTATTGTTAATGGATTGTTTTATCTTACAACAATCACACCAACTATAAGCGCTATTTTTGATGCTCGTGGAGCAGCATATGGCGTATGGCAGATGATCGATACGGTAAACATATTTCTAATGATGATGATCGATGTTTGTTATTCAAAATTGCGGTTAAAACTGTTTTTCTAAAGATTAATAAAAGTGGAAATCTACATTATGTAGTTATTCATAAGTCACATTAATGCGAGGGAGAAAAAGCAGCGTCCGGCGCCACCAGTAACTCAGTGGACCTAGCGAGGGAGAAAAAGCAGCTTCACAACTCCAGCAGTACCAGATAGCTCCATATAAGTTCTAATGAGCTTCAATCATTCTGCTCAATTCCACTCAGCTCCAATGTGTTCCGGACGATTTTCTACCGCTCTGATTGATTTTACTTCGAAAATTATAAGTTTAAACACATTATACAGAAAAAGCAGCTATTAAACAAACTTTCATTTCATAAAAGTAGACTTATCATGGAATTATTCAACAGTATTATAAATTACACAAAAAACTGCACTGTCATCAGAATTATCAAGAGCGAGGCTACTGATATAATTCAAGAGATAAACAAATGTTCACAACTCGAAGGAGTCGAAGTAAAATCAATTTGAGAAAATGCTCCGAAACTCATTGGAGCTGAGTGGAACTGATTGAAGCTCATTGGAGGTCATGTGGAGCCATCTGGTACTACCGGAGCTTTGTAGCTGCTTTTCCACCCCTGTTATTAATGGCTAAACACAAGAACAAGATAAGACTTTTAAGATCAAAATTGCAGATCTCCATTCATCCTAGCCTGTTTTACTAAGTACAGCCATCCTATTAGCATAGGAATGACTGTACTTAGTAAAACAGATAATGTGTGATAAAAGGGAGAATTTAGAGCATTAGAGACAATATTCAGTACAACAATTTCATTTTGAGTGGAGTTATTATGTTTAGAAGAACCATATGCTTTTAACGATACGATGTTATGATTATAATTACTTTTAGTCACCTGAAGACAGTTCTGATGTCGATCTGCCTGAAGAAAATAAGCAATTGCATTTAAATGGTTCTATAAAATTTGAATCTGTTCATTTTGTTTATCCGTCAAGAACAGACGAAAAAGTTCTCCATGGAATTAACTTTACTGCTGAGCAAGGTCAAACCATAGCTCTTTGTGGCAGTAGTGGATCGGGTAATTTGGATAGGTTCTAATGGTGCTGGTTTATTTATCAATATATCCCATTTAGGTAAAAGCACAATTATACAATTATTATTAAAGTTTTACGAGCCAACAGAAGGCAAAATTCTAATAGATGGACGTTCGATCGATGCATACGACACAAGCTTGTTAAGGAAAAGTATTGGTGTTGTCAGCCAAGAACCGGTAAATTGAACAACTTCGAATGTTTTTCTCTATACATCTTTTTTGTTCATGTTTACAGATTTTATTTGGTACAACAATTTATCAGAATATTAAATACGGTAATGGAAATTTAACAAGAGAACAAATAGAAGAAGCAGCCAAAAACGCAAATGCCCATGATTTCATTATGGATTTGCCCGATGTAAACAAAACAATATGTTATTTTTATTTCTGTTTATCTGTGTTAATTTCTCTTAGAAATATGATACGGTCGTTGGTGAGGGTGGCGTTCATTTGAGTGGAGGAGAAAAACAACGTATTTGCATTGCAAGAGCTATTGTTGGAAATCCAAAAATTTTATTACTGGATGAAGCTACAAGTGCTTTAGATAATATGAGCGAATTGTTTGTACAAAATGCTTTGGAACGTGTATCCAAAGGTAACGGAGCTTTTCTTTTATTCAGATAAAAGTATTAGGCAATGCTTTGATGCGCCATATTGTAATTTAGCTGAAAACATTTAAATTTTTTGCCAAAACACAATTTTCGGGACGATTTCCCATGTTAGTTTTAAATCTGGTCGCCATTCCTTTTCTTGGGCTTGTCCACGGAGGATCTTTGAAAACAGAATCTCCATAATCCCGCGTTCGTTATATACGTTATAGCGTTTTTAAATTGATCCGTTTGTACAGAGTATTAAATTTCATATTTGGATGAATTTTTAAAATTGATGTTGTTATGTCATAGAAACATGAGAAGATTATATGTTGAGAATCGTGAATTTTCTATTCTATTCTACTGACGTCATTACTCTTCTGTTTCATATGTTTCTAGTATGTCCAAATTTTATGTATAAATAGGTGTGTTTTTAAGGATGTTTTTCGTGTAAAATCAGTTAGATGGTTATTAATGAATAAAGAAAACAAGATAGAAAACTATTCAAGTTTAGAATTAGGACGGATATAACAGACATATATGTTTCAGAAAAATTCGATTGTTCATTATTCGAAAACGTGTAAATATATTTTGTACGCTTTTTCTTACTTATCTACTTGATTTTCCCAGTTTAGAATTCCCAGAGATTCGAAAATATCTACGTCAGTTTTTAGGAATTCATCCAAATCTATAGTATAATGTTCTGTATAAAGTGAAAAAGTAAAAAGCACTCTAAACAAAAAACAGTGACTTCATTGAAGTGTCTACAGAAAAAACGCGTCTTTTATGAGTCTTATGATAAATGTCTCCCAGGTGCCTTTCCAGTGTCTATAATGTGTCGTCTAAAAAGACATCACAGTACGTCGTCCTAGGCACATCAAATGTTTTCAGAATAGACACATTTATGTGGCTCAACAGGATCCGACTTAGCGTCTTACTACAAGTCGGATCGTTTTTTAGAGTATAGGCGAACTACCGTCTTGTGAAGATCCGATCTGCAAAGACCCGCTGTGTACAGTCGTAGTAGAAGGAATGACGATCAGTTTTGGAATTAGCATGAAAACTTACCTGCAAAAAACTATGTTAGAAAAAAAAGCAATTTAACACCTGGAAGTCTTGCCTTATAAATGAAAAAATTACAGCAAAACTTTTTAATTTTCGCTTACGTATATTATTCTGTCATCATCAAAGAATCACAAAGGCGATGGTATTATTTGAAAAATGTTTTACAAAGAGTATATCTTGGTATTTTTGATGCAAAGCTTCAAAAGCAGAATAAGGATATTGAACAAACTTGTGCGCAACAATTTGAGTCGGCGTTACCTAATTGTGAATATATAATTACAAGACTTGTAACGCATTCGAAATCAGAGTGTAAGGATTGCTCGTTACTTTTTTTTTGCAGGGCGAACAACTATTGTCGTTGCTCATCGCTTGTCAACAATACGCAATGCTGATAAAATATATTTTATTGAAAAAGGTGTAGTTGTTGAAGAAGGCAATCAGGAAACATTAATGGCAAATGAACAAGGAGAATTTCATGAACTGATTCGAGCACAGAATTTATTTATTAATGAGGAGGATGATATCATTGATGAGAACACTACTGTGGATGTCAACAGCAGAGGTTCTTATTGAATTATTTCATTCTTTCCATCCTGTTGACACAAATATACTCCTTTTTTAGAACAGTTCAGAAGTAGAACTGCAAGTTCAATAAGCGATAAAATATCGGAATTCGAAATAGGTGGTGAAAAAAGTGAAAAAGTAAGATAAAAGTTATGTCTTTGAAAATCTTATAGCCTAGTTTCATTTGCTAATCTCAATACATTATTGAAGATCTGATGCATTTCTGATACCTTCTGGCAACCTCGAAATTGGATGAAACCATAGGTGATCGACTATGCTGAATTTCCTGACAATGTTTGTTCTTCGAAAAAGCTTCAAAATCCCTGTGAAAGTCTGTATTACCTAAGATAACTCATTTTTACTATATATGATCATCTCTCTTTCAAATTCGACAGTCATACTAGCCTGATTATGATACCGTGAATTATCAGAATTTTATGTAAAAGTGCTTTTCAATTATATTAAATATAATTGCCTCTGTTTCATCTGTCTTGTAGCCTGGAATTCGATTAAAGTTTTAAAACTAGTAGAATATTCCTGGGTTTTCGAAAAGGTTTCCTAGAAATTTGTAGTAGTAATAAATGAACTTTACCACTAAGCTTAAGTACCGAATCATGTTGGAGAGATAATTTTAAGTTCAAAACTATTATTGAATCTCAGGCTATAAGTCAGATAAAACAAAGTATATCTTGATATTCTGAAATAGCTGGAATATGTTTTGAATCAATTATAAACTTTTAATTTCTCGAAAGTCAAAAATAAAATGAGTTATCTGACCTAATACAGACTTTCACCAGTTTTCTGAAGTGTTTTCGAAAATCAAACATTATCACGAGATTCAGTATGGTCAATAATCTATAGTTCCATCCAACTTTGGGGTTGCCAGAAGCCATCAAAAACGGAGCTCTTAACAATACACCCACGTCTCTTCTTTCGAATAGCAAAAACTGCAGCTCGCTAGCTTTCTTCCTAGACAAACTTCTTTTTCAAGACTTGTACCTTCCTAATAAGATCCTAAATAATTCCTACTACATTATGATGCAGTCATCGCATTTTCCTGTTAGGATCCGAACAGGATCCTAACAAAATCCTAGCAAATCTTACGACCTTTCGATATACCTGATTCTTTAGGATTCTGTAGGATTTTTCTGAGCGAAAACCTACAGGAGTCTGTTTTAATAGAATCCTAGCAGGATACCACAAGAATCGTATCAGAAAATGTATAGATTTCTTGCTAGAGCTTCTAGCAAAGTTGTTGAAAAAATGGTGGAGAGGATTCTTTTCCGAAACGGATAATAATACATAGAAATGTTTACAATACAAAAAGACTTGTGAAATGTTACTATTTTCAATATGCTTCGCAAACTTTTGTGCGAAAAGACAATATGTTTTGACTAGGCTTTTGCTTTTAGAGAAAACCACAACGTTCAACGTTTCTGATTATGTTAAAATTAAACAGTCCAGAATGGTTCTATATTCTATTGGGGTGTTTAGCTTCTGTTGGAAATGGGGTTGTACCACCATTATTTGCGCTTATATTCGTTAAAACGATTGAGGTTAGTTATTCATCTATTGCTACTTCGTTTGTAACCGATCACATAACAATCTGTTGGTAGTAGTGAAAAGAACTAAGAAACAGGCATTTTAGGAATAAGTCAGACCGATCAAATCTTCTCTTCTAGTTCCCTTTGAGTATTTAGAAGGAGTGGACAACAATATCATAGGCGGCAAGAAATTCACTCCATTTTCCGGGAAAAAATGATCTAAAATATAAAGATCGATAATTTCGCATCTCACAGCGCCATCTACTGTAAAAGAACGAAACGATGTCCAGAGCTCGTGGTTGTTTGAATTAGTAGTACACGTTATATGGTACTTCGGACAAAGTTGATTAGTCTAAGTCATATGTCAGTACGAAGTTACACGTAGTTTAAGCTGACAGTTTTTCATTAGATTTTTCAGTTCAGTTCATTTTCAGACATTTCATATCAGATTTCTGGGGCTTCTCGTAAAAATTGAACATCTCAACAACACAACAACTTTACTACCTCCGATTCTGGTGGAAGTTTATAAAAATGTTTTCTCGAATGAATGCTACTCTGGTCCTTGCGCTGCAACAAATTTGAGATAATCGATTGAGCACATTAAGTCGTGGCTGATGGAAAAGCTGTTGAAAATACCTCTTCTGGCAGTATCTTGTATTTTAAGAAACAGTTTAAGCTGCAGAAACTTAAGCTTTCACTAAAAAGTTTTGGGTGAGTCTATTGGTGCTCCTTAGGGTGCCAGCAAGAGGCTATTGGCCGAATATTAGATTTTTGGGGCTTCTCTTTCTCGTTCTCAAATTGAATATCTCAGCAACACAACAACTTTAGAATCTCCGATTTTGGCGGGAGTTCATAAAAAATGTTTGTTCGAGAGAAAGCTCTACGTTGGAAGAAATGTGTGATGGTCGATTGAGCAGCATTATACGGTAATAGATTATGGCTTATCTTTAATGGCTCTTAGTAAGACGTGACCACGTAGAATAAATCATGGTCAATTTATTTTAATGCACTTATGTAACTTAACTAAAATAATGTTTAAAAAGAATCACTTGTATTTGAAAATTACCAGTGGTATACCTTAATGGTCGAAACAAAACTAGTAGATCAATTTTTCCTTACTACTTTAAACCTGTAAGTTTGCTATCAACGCTACATTTGAATATAACCTGTACAGTGTACACTGTCATAACGAAAGATCAAACTATCAACTCGTCGTTGACTATTTCTCCGAAGGCATGAGCAAAGATTGGGAAGTTACATATAGGATTTACCGGGTATCGATCAACGTTGAATTCCATCCGAATATATCTCTTCTGAAGATCATGGAACTGAGCAAACATCTTGTGATTATAGGAACAATATTTTGACACAGACATTCTGCTTATTCACGAAAACCCATTTGTGCCTCCTCTCCAGTTTCTACATATATAATTAACGAGTGTCCTAGGGTAAATAGGCCTTTCAGTATTTTGCCAATATCTTTGTCAATTTTTATCACCCAGACTTAATTTTTTAAAATATTCACCATTCAGTTCTCTTCAAAAAACATATTGAACATTTTTTTACATACAGTGAAAATAAAAACTTATTACTGCGAAGCTTCAATCTCGATTATTTTCTAACTCAAAAACAGCGAAAAAATTTATTTTGAATATGGTAGCATGCAACAAAGTAAAGTCAAAATAAGGCTGTGTAAGTAATTAATTTACTATGTAGTAAGATTTTGAATCAAAATTTTTGAAATGTTGCTACTTTAGTAGCTCTTCATCCAATTTAGAAATATACTGGGACATTATAATACTAAACGTTTAAATTTGCCTTTATGAACAGGCAAATATGTGCAACGAAATAACACGGAGTCTGATACATTCGAGTAAAAAAAAATGTTTTAGCCTTTTGATGACTGCATTTAATCAGCTTTCCAAGTAATTATTAAAAGATTCTCTCATGCAAGATTTTTAATTTTTATACTTGACTTTGTTTGTTAGATATGTTTTACAACTGCTTATTTAGTTACATAAAAGACCCAGTGTTGGAAACTTGGACTGTCCCTTACTACGTGCGCAGTCATTGAGACTGCCCTTCTGTAATTTTTCTTTCAACATAGTTGAGAATATATATGTGAGATGTCGCCAAAGTAATTCG